GGCAGACAGAAGTCCTCTCTCGTGCACCTGCCGTTCCGTGCCGATAGCGCCACGATTGCACTCATTCCATCCATCCACTCCACCGATTCATCCCTTCCTTTATCCGCTAAGCTGGTCTGTCTGTCTGTCTGTCTGGGGTATGCTGCCTATTTTTCCCCCCTCTGCTGGTTGCCCTTATCTTGCTTTGTCACTCTCTGGTCTCTGTCTCTTGCTTACCGATCCGTTAAGTGCTGAATGCGTGTGTGTAGTGTGTGTTGCGCGTATGTGTGCAAATGGGTGTGGATTCCTCCTCCCTCGCTCATTCTCTCTCTCTTCCACAAAGGAATGTGCATATGGCACTTATATCTCTCTCAGCACTTACACAACTTTTTCTCCACCCACCCGTTCCTACTTTTTGCAGTCTCTCTGCTGTCTTCGTCCATGCGATGCGTTTGTGTGTACGCTTGTGGTGCGTATGTGCGTATGTGGGTCTGTCTGTACGTGTGAGTATGCGTGTCTCGGTGTGGGGTGGTGGTGGGGGCTGGTAGGGTAGGGCTTTAGGAGGAGCGTGCGAAGCACCGTATGCGCTAAGAACGTCCTACGACATAGCCGACGTGACGACTGACGTGACTGACTTCCCTCTCTCCCTCTCTCCCTCTCTCACCGTGCTTGCGCCTGCTCATGGTGCTGCTGCTTTTCGTACGCTGCGCTTTGTTGCGCTGAGAGTGACTTCATTGTCGCAGGACGAATGACCTTCATCGAACGAAGTGACATGAAAGCCCTGACTGGCCATCTCTGTGTATGTGAGTACAGCTATTGGTGTGCACACACACAAACACACGTGTCTGCACGTCTGTCTGTATGGGACCTGACTGGCAACAGAGGGAGAGAGGGAGAGAGAGAACGACGACCTGAGAGAGAGAGAGAGGAGAGAGGAGAGATGAGACCAGATCATCCGTCCACTGACTTGTCCGAGTGAGTGTCCGAGTGCTCGAGTGGCTCCTGCCAAGCGCACACGGAAAATATATGTATCTGTCTGTCCATGGGGATACGTATGGGTCTCTGTATGGGTTTATCTATACGTCGGATCACGTCAAGACCACATTGTCAACACACATACCTCTCTGTGCTCCTGTCTGTCTGTCTGCCTGTCTGTCTGTCTGTCTGTCTGTCGCTCTCGAAAGTGTGATTGCGTACATTCGTATGTAACTGTGTGTGCAGCAAAGTGGTATGTAATTCGCTCGGTCATGGATACAAATCTCCTCAGCTGCCACACACACACTGACTCGTCTCTCGCTTCATTGGCAAGCTCAGGGGAGGGGGGAGGGCAGTACATATGTATGTAGTGTATCCGAGAATGGCTTTTGCCGGGCGTGCGCGTGTGCGTCTCGTCTGTCCCCCGTTTTGTCCGTGCGATCGTGTCTGTCTGCCTGTCTGTCTGTCTGTCTGTCTGTGAGTCGGTCGGTGCGTCTCCGAAATTAAGGACAAGTGGGTGATGGCTGCGCGTGGGGGTGGTGTCGGATACATGTACGGCCCACCACACGCCAGCTTGACTGGGTGTGTCAGTGAGGGAGGGAGGGAGGGACGCGCACATATATGTAGGTATGTATGTATACGCACTGCATGAGGGCGTCTTTTTTCCCTCGGCATCGTGGCGGGACGTGACCCTTGCGGATGGCTGGGCCACATGGGTGGGTGGATGGATGGAACGTCTTGGTCAGACTTCCCTTCTCTCGTGCATCGTGATCATGCCCTGCATGAAGAGTTTTGCTCTCTCCGTGTGTGTGAGTGTGTGTGTGAGTGTGTGTGGGCGTCTTTTTGCCGGTTGGGCGGCGGGGGATTGATTGACCATACTGGGTCTTCCACATACAGACACACAGACACACTCGCTGCTGACTCCAGGCTGTCTGTGACTTGATTGGTCCGAGAATGGGTGGTGATGCATTTATTTGTATGGGTGGCTGTGTGGCTAGCTGCATGATGCGAACACGCATGCATATGAAGGCTGCACCCTGGCTGGCTTACATCTGACAGCAGCGATTTCAGGGAGTGAAAGCGCGCGAAACAATCAAGGGGGTCAGCGTGGGGCGTCTCATCTTGGTCTCATCTCGTGTCGTTGAGGGAAGGGACGTCCCCGAGGACGTTGTAGGTCTCAGAAGGCTTGTCAGAAGGCATCAGCCGTCCGTCAGCGACCCCCACTGGCAGCCATGCTCTCTTCGGCAGTAATGCCGCAGTTCTTTTTCGTTGTTGTTTTTTGCCTGAGTAATGCCGCCTGGGCGGCTTCCTGCGGTCGTCGCCGTGTTGACATTGTTCCCGGTCGTGCGCCTGCACGCCAACAACTCATGCTCGAACAAAAGGGCTGCCGACAACTTTTGTTGTTCGATGCAGGCGTCATTGCGATGTTCCACGGCCCCAACGATACGGATGGCAGCTTCCTCGAGGACAAGGAGTTCCAGCTGAGCCCCACGATCAAAGGAGACAGGATGTGTAAGCAGCCCGGCCGTCTTTGCAATGAGATGAATGAACCCAATGAACGACCCGTCACTGTTCATCAGGCACTCCGGTCGAGTACTTGAAGGACCTGTGTTCGGACGGATCCGCGTGGGACAGGCAGCTGGGCGAGAAGCGGGCGATGCTCAGGGAGAGATCCCTGAAGGTACGTACGCATCGCAGGCATCCACGTCCTTACACGTCAGTGAGTGATTGATTGGCTGTGTGCGTGGGCGTGTGAGTGAGTGCAGAAGCTGCGTAAGGAGATGAACAGGGGCCACAGCCTCGTCAAGAACGCCGCCAAGCGGATCAAGCAGCTCGACGAAAAGGTCATGAAGCTCAAGGTGCAGAAGTTCCAGCTCGAGTTGAACTGGGCATACGTAAGAAAGCTCTTTCGCCCCCCCCCCC